TTTAACTCAAAACCGACCAAAATGTCTATTACTGCACTTTAGGCTCAGGTGGGCAGTATTGTATTGTGATCAGGATTACACATACTTAATAACTTTGAATCGATTTGTATTTTAGAAGTAAATTAAAATCGACTTTTAAGATTTTATTACATTGTTAGTTACAAATAGCTTTATTAAGTACGTAGAAAAATAAAAGAAGAGCATTAAATTTATACCTTTTGTGTTTAAAAAAACATGGACATGTAAAACTATTATTAAAATTTCAAAATTAATGCGTTAAAGATTAAATTTTTAAACTGCCTATTCGTCATACTGTTTGTATATTTTTGTGGGGATTAGATGAAAAGGAGTGAAAAGCGTTATAGATGTTTTGTAGACATTGAGCTTTGGCTGTGACCTACAAATACAATTTAAATTCAATTTTAATATTATCTTGTAATTTAGTTATCAATGAAAACATATTATAATTGATAATAATCATAACAACACCTACGCCTGTGCTAAGTAATAAAATATTGACTTTGTAATTCAATGAAGTTAAAAAGATAACATAAAGTTTGAGCTTTCTGAAGTATGTAGTTTCATGTAGTTTAAAATTTAACTTTAAAATATTACAATGGTGACACCCATTTATTATACTTTAGTTTGTAAATAAAAAATCGATTGTGTTTTCGTAACATTTACAGTTGCCACAATAACAGTGATAACACTTTAAAAGGACAGTACTTTATCCTTTTGTAACATTTAAACGAATATCTTCAGGGTATAAAATCTTTTCTTCGCAAGCTTTCTAAAAAGTGTAAAAAAGTTTCCAAATGGCCAGGTACTTAAGTATATGAAGCGTTCGCACTAATCTCGAATACTTGTATACAAGAAATGGCCCTGGAGGAGAGCCGTTACTTGAGGCTATCAGAAACACGAGCATAATAAACGATCCTACTGAGAGTTTGGTCTCAGTCTGTAAGGCTTCAACCCCACAAACAGCTATGAGCTATACGATTATGAGACTTTCGTATACAAGAGAAAATAGAAAAATATAAAACATAATTAATATATAAACATGTTGGGATATTATAGAAATATACATTTTGTTTGTTAATTAATGAACAGTTCTTAAATATTCTTCTGAAGGTTTTATTAATTAGTTTTATATTTATTTGTACTTACTAATCAGTCAGCTAAGTACAAACATATATAACATTAATTAATCAAGTCAAAGTAAGAAACAAAAATTGATACAAAATTACGATCATTTCAATAGATAACTTTATACTTGCACTAGCGGCTCAGCCTCGCTTCGCTCGGGTTCGTCTTTAGAAAAACAAAAACAAATCTATCCCACGGAAACCGTACATTTTTCCAAAATAAAAAGTAACCACATGCTATTCCAGACTGTAATCTATCCCTGTGCCAAATTTCATATAGATTCGTTAAGCCGTTCTGGCGTGATTGAGTAACAAAACATCAGAACACCTAAACTTTCACATTTATAATATTAGTATAGATTATGTACAATTTGTTGTTCGTTAATTTAAAAAATAAGAACAGAAAAATAGGTCATGTTTAAAACCTTTTTAAAAAGGAAAATAAAAAGCATTTATAAGCTATTATTTATTATTTTACATTTGTGACTTTGATTGAAAATTCCACTCTTAATAAGTTAGTTTCTATAAAATGTTCAACGATAGCCCTATATGTTTTCTGACTTGTTCATAGTGGCTCCAAGCTATACGATTTACAAAACTTGTTTTTATATAACATACTGGTATATTTCACATATACTTTGTTTGATATTGAATTGAATCGGCAACTTTCTGTCGTCTATTTTACGAAAAAAAAATAGCTTGAAGAATATTACCGTCCAACATATTTGTATGGAGTATTTCTCCAGTGACAGTTATAATATAATACGTCTATTTTGAAACCAATCATGTTATCTTCTGGTGATAGTTAATAATCCAACCAAAAGCAACACTAGGCCCTTATGTCTATGTTCATTTAAGACATAAAACTGAGGCAATCCGGGCTTTTGCAACTAAAAACGTAATTGTGAGTACACGTAAAGTATCTTTTATTTCCGTGTGCCCAATACTAACAGTAACACGCAACGCGATATGAGCAAGTAACCGATCCCCGGGCGGTAGTTAGTGTGTACAAAAAGGACCTACATCGTGTCGGACGGCCTGTGGCCTCGCGGCCGATGACCTCGTCTGATCCTTCCACATTATACGAGTTGATTAATTAAAATTCCATATTTGCTATCGATTGGTTTACAATTTTTGAGTACTAAATTAATATTTTTTGTTAACCTCTTAGATAGATATAATAAATATTCGACGTTAGATATAAGTTATATAGATTTGTCTCTTCTAAATTACGCTATTTTTTATTTAAGTTCGTAGTAAGTTTATTTTTTATTTAACTTGTCTCTTGGCTCGATAACAACTAGATTGTTTTTAGCTTTAAAAAAGTTTAATACGCATTGTATTAGTTCGTAGAATTTTTTTGCAATATCACAAAATCACGTCCTGCAATTATATTTCCCGAACACAATACGAGTCGCGCGAGAGGTTCACTTCTGACAAGTAGTAAGCTGAAATCGCATTTCAGTGTTGTAATATGCAACTTGCAAGTAGCGGCCGCGCTGTGAATGAAAAGCTCCGATATATTAGTTGATTGCGATTCATAGATGTAAAATTATTTATTTTATTAAAATTGCGTACAATTTGAATGGAAAATCTCTAATTATAATTTAATATTACAACATACAAGATTTTGTTTCAGTGAATATTTTTTTAGAATGTTGTAGTACTTTAGCTTGGTTCAACCACAACTAAAAACCGTACAGACGAATCCATAACTACATTTTTCGGTCGAGTCATTTAGGACGACAATGATTATAGACACACGCGCACCAGAATTTTATATAATATGCTTAAATATATACATTTGACATCACTTTCTCATGTACTTATATGTATAGTTGAAATTTCCTAAATATCCATATTATATTATTGAAAGAAAACGATGTGAAAATGTAATTGAAAGCCCTATACAAAAATTAATACCTATTGATAAAATAAAAAGGTATCACAAACATCATTCGAATGATATCGAATGGTTGGATTTAGTCTCTAAGGTTTTATGAAGGCAGTGTATCAAACGTGCAAATTGGAGTCGTTCCTAGCAGCCGTCATGTCCCGCGCCGTGACGCGGTGATGGGTCGTCGTAATGAAGTGCCCGTCGATTGTACTTACTCGCTCGTCGAATGTTATTGGATACTCTCAGTGAAATAGTGCTTATTTGCTATCATTCGTTTTTTAATAGCTTTTGAATGTAGACTTGATTTGTTTACACTTTATTCAATTCCATACTAATATTATAAATGTGTAAATGTGTTTGTTTGTTTGTTTGGCTGGAGAGTGACAAAGGCTACATTTTACCGTAGTAGATTATCTCATTATCACGAGAAAACACGTTATAATACAAGCCAAAAATTATTTACGATCAGAATTACTTGAAACTTCGTATTAATTCTCCTCAATAAAATTAAATAAATATGTGTTGTAGCATTTTTCGAAATTCTTGCCATAAGGGGGTAAAATAGGAAATGAAAGTTTGTATGAAAACTACTTTTTTAGCGTTTTTTTTGTAGTTTTAGCGCGAGCGAAGCTGCGGGTTCTGCTAGTGTCATGATATAATTATTTAAATTACACATTGTAAGGTATATAATATCTAAATCGTGTCACTTAGCGTTTGCTTCGCAAGTATAATAGTACACTGTAAAAGTATTTTTAATTAATATTATTTTAATAAAAAAAATATAAAATATATTTATGAAAAGTAAATATAAATTAGGTATTAAATTTTTCAAGTACTGCCTGAATCATTGCTCTTGGGTGCTCTTGTTGATCTAGAAAATTCTGAATAGTCTCATTAAATTAATAAATAAAGTGGAAACAGAGTTTCCTTGCTAATATTTTAAATGTAAAAGTTTCTTTGTCAGTGTGTCCTTATTTCGCGTAACGACGACATAACGGATTATAGCTTCTTTTTTTATGCCGCTTGTAGGCTGCAAATTGTTAGAGCTCGGCTATTTATAATCCGTGAAATTACTACATAATATGAGTCTATTGCAAAGTATTTTTGGCGAAATGAGGTTGGATCAAATATGTATTCCAAAAAGATATAATTTTCGCTTCCGACGCGAGTACTGTAAGGTTTTAATATAAACAGCTTAATGCAAAATTTATCGTGCATTTCGGCAGCCAGAACAATGTATATTAAAGTTGAAGCATAACATTCGAATAAAACTTCGTATGCGGTTGCGATCGCATTTAATTTGGACGTCCAGCTCGCGTCTGCATCAAGCAAAACTGCCGAGTGAGCGTGCAGCTATGACGCATGCTAATGCCGATATCGCCATCGCTCGCAACTGCCCAACTTTCAATCGGAGTTGAATAGAAACAACAATTACGAGAACTCCGGTGTGATTACAACTCACGCCACGTGAAATTGACGTTTTATTAGAATGGATAGTTTCGGGCATCAAGTGATCTACTGCTACTGAAATGAAGTTTTACTCGTTCATATGAAAAACTTGCGGTTAATCTTCTCTTGTCGCGGTTGTGTCCATATGTATTCTTTTGTAGGAACATTGAGTTCCATTTTATGGCAACTTTTATTACAAACAGTGGCCTATGTTTTTCATAAAACTTGTGATAGTCTATCGGCGTACTATATTTTATCTAAATCCGTCCAGCTGCAACACTGTGAAAGAATAATAAAAACACACATACACAGCCATACACACGTTTAAAATTATATAGTAATAGTATATTAAAAAAGTTTTTTATCTTGCATGTTGCGGAGTTAATTTGGTCGCTGTGGCTAAATTTCGGATGTTTAGACATGACAGTATACAAAATGGGATCTAAAAGTATATTAATACTCATTCTCTGTTTATCATTGTCCACAAACTAATCCGTACGATCTAGTCAACCCCACGTATATTTGAAGCCGGCAGTAGCAACTGTCCGCGAACAGAGTGCGGCCAGGAGGCGGGCGGTAGGGCGGTAGGGCGGCAGGGCGGCAGGGCTAGAGAGACGCCAAGCGGCGAAAAACCAGCACTAGTCGTTTGATTTATGCCCCTTCGTTGTTTTAATTCGAATTCTCGCTTCCCTGTTCGAAGCTGGTAGTTGCATATTGGATTCATTTGTATCGTCGCAAATAAACAGAATAATTGATAATAATTTCGATTACACAATTTAATGTTTTATTTAAATTACCTGGTAAAGAAAATGTTAGCTACCATTTACTATCAACTTTAGAGTTTCTGTATGTGCTTTTTGTCAATCTAGATGTATAAGTTTTTAAGTTATATATAGCTATAGTTTTAAATAATTAGTTTAAATAACAAAAGTTTCATTTTTTATAGAATATTGTTTCTGAAGTTTAGTTTTATATTTCAACTAGCGACTCACCTTCGCTCCACTCGAGTTCGTATAATATATAAATATAACGGATAGTATAGATTTCTTAGAGATGATATATTTTTCCACAGTGATAAGTATCTTATATATTGAGCCGGATAACCAGCTATCAACATACCCATCAAAATCTGTCCAGTGGTTCTCATGATGCGTTCCCAGACACACAGAAAGTTAGACAGATAAAATTTTCAAAAGCGACAAATTCGGTCTCTGTATCGATATTAATGACTATTTCAATAGATTTTCCAAAAAATATTTAATGTAATTATATATTCGACTCAGAAATTTATCATATGTATAGATCTACGAATAAATAATTATTTATTCGTAGGTATAGATAGATTATTCATACTATTGAACGAGTTTACGACTAGCCTCATAAGTTATTAGCTATAGTCAACTATATAAATTGTGTAATATTCCAAAAATTTTGCAATATATAATGTAAGGTATCGTTTAAATACGAGGTGGGAGTCGTAAGCTGCAGTCCCAAGTTACGTGAATATCTGTGGAGCTTTAGTGCGGGGCCGGAAATAAAAACATAATACAAGGGCGGCCGCATAATGAAGCACTCACTCGCGGCCGCAGTCTCTCTGTCCCTCGACTGTAGAGTCCGGTGTAGAGCGCAGGCCCGCAGTCCGGCGCGGGAGAGCGCGTCCTTCTGCATTATCATTTCTCAACCTGTCCGCCGATGCCGTTTCGGCGCTTTGCATTGTTCACGGCCCGTTTGTTCCGCGCTGTAGAGACTACTGGTAAACTATGAGCTCGTTTGAATGCATTGAGGGAGGATTAAGCTTATTTGAGAATTTGAATAATTTAAACAAATAGCAAATTATAATTAGATTAATTTCATCTAAATGACTCTCGCTTACTGCTTCAGGTAGTTTCATAAAACTGGTTTAAAAGAACATGCTAGATTTAGTGTTGTTAATTTTATTAAATACATACAACTTCGTGGTACATAGTCTAATGGAGATTCTATAGCTTGAACTATACCTATTCAAAAAAACTCTGAGTTTCATTCCCATATCTAAGTAAAATAGGCTTTTTATCAAGAAACTCATAGCAGCAGCTCAAAGTTTAAAAGCTGACAATGTTGCATCACCTGGCGAAGGTGTTCCTGTTTTTGTAAACACATTTAGCTCCCTTTAAGTTGCCTAGAGTTGCCCGCCTTCAACAAATTCGGACATGAGGACATTATCATTATGTACCTACGAATGAATAATAAGTCGTACATAGTAATATGTAAACCATGCCAGATAGAGACTCACTTTTATATATCATTTAATTTTTTCCTTTAAAATATTAATAAATACAACGCTATGAAGACGCAAGCCACTAATATAATAAAACGACGTGGGAAGGGAGTTTACAGAAATAAATCTTAACGTAAAAACAAGTCATCTAAGTAAGAATCCGCTGCAGACTACGGCTGGTGTATATTTCTTTTAGTTTTGCTTTATTTTATACCTCGTAAACCTGAGGAAAGTTTATTTTATTCATATTTTCGGGAATTTTGTCTTCATTTCACTGATTTAGGGTTTGTGATATTATTCTTAATATAAATTCCTTGCTCAGACTCCAGTTAAAGAGTGAAAAATAAGGTTTTTGAATGTTTTTAATTATTTTTTTTAAAGCTATATTATAGTATTTATTTTAGTGTCACTAAATATCACGTATTTTATACATTTATAAATTTTCAGTGGTAAATTAAAATTGCTTGTCCTTAGTAAATGGACTTTTAAGTAAAATACATAATGTAAATATTCAATACAGAAAACTGAAAACACAGGACTTCAATAATCTGCTCTAAGAACTATAAGTTATTAAAAATAAGAAATTAAAAGCTTTACACACTTACAGACTTTAAAACACTAAAAAGTTAAAAACAACGGAATGAATGTTTTTATTTACTATAGATAGGTACCTAATCAGATATTTTCAAAGTGGGTGCCAGCCTACAATGCTTTAAGATATGAATATCTAATAGGTAAATATAATAAGACATGAACTTTATAGTTGAAAATATTATTATACCTCCATTAATTTGTGATATAAGCTTTGCTTTGATTTGTATCGGCTGGTACCGACTACGAAAATATCTAATTAGGTATCTCCAGTAAATAAAAACTCCAATTTATTTCTTATTTTACGCGAATATTGACATTTTAAATAAAACTATCTTTTCGGATTTTTTCGCGGATTTATTTTGACTTTTGGTTCCCGACGTTTCGAATGCTTTACAGCAATCATGGTCACGGGAGTGACTGAGGTGTTAGATGTCTATAAGGTATAGTTGTTATAGACAACCTACCCACAAATAAGGACACAAAAGAGAAGAATATGATATTAAAATTGAGTCGAAGTACAAGTTCAGACTGTTGCTATTTATTTACATAGATAAGCTTTAAAATTAAAGCTCGATATGTGGCGTTCGAATGAAAACTTCGACATTTTCTCTGCAACTAGTCGTCGCTAACTTTCGTGCTCTGATTCGAGCTAAAAGTTATATGGCTTTGGTTTTGTTAGTTTCATCGGTTTTAAATTTATAACTTTATTTAAAAACTTGCATCGTAACTGTGTAAGAAAATACACTTCATAAAATATTTTTTACAAATATAGGATATGATTTGCGAAGTTGCTACTTTCAGAAAATCTCGATAACTGCTCAACTGAATGCTTTGAAATGTTAAAAATATATAGGATATTCTCCTGCTGGCTGATAATTAAAACCTTTCAATTTATATTTTTTCCAGTCATTCAATACCAAAAGTTATCTGAATGCACTCATAGCTCTAAATCAAACGAGTCCTCTTTAAAGTACAAAACCCATGGATTTGCAGCGGTCCTAGATTAACGACGTGACGATAGTGCTCGTTCATGCCATTAAAGTCCTGAAAAGATTGCACTCTATTAAGGACTCGCAATCAATATCAGAATCTTTTTATTTTCAGTAAACTACACCTAAACTTTGTCGAATGTAATATGTGAATTGAAATATAAATAACGATATAAATAATTATTTGCATACGAAGTAAGCTAGCTAAATAAGATTTGATTAGTATTGTTTTCGAAATCAGTTAAAAAATTTAGTTCGAACATAAATAAAAATGGGGCATTGAAAGTTTACTGACATTCTTTAGCTTTATTTGCCTGAAAAATCATTATCCTGTATCATCATTTACCATACAAAATCATAAATCACTAGGTTACAGAGAAAGATTACAAATTACTATACAAATAAATAGAATAAGACTAAAATAAACATATAAGAATAGCATAGCAAATAGAATTGGAGTAATTTTGTAGAGGGGTATATTTTAAAACTTAGTTTTGCGTTTAAAATTAGTTTTATAAAATCACATATATTCCAAATTAGTGATCTTAAAATAAAATAATATGTTTCAATTAATGTAAGAATGAATTCGACTATGTAATATTTTTTTATAATTATGGTTATGTTTTTTGGTAAACCAGTTTTCACCAATAAGTTTGACTTAGTCAAAATCATTAAACTAGTCTGAAGTGGCGGAACTACCACTTATATACAAGAATTTGTATTATTTTTAAAACTAGCTATATTTTATGACATAACAAGTGGTGATGTCATTTGCCAGAGACTCGCCGCGCGACCGAGTAAAGCAGTGTGCAACTCCGACAAGTCCTTCCCTTGTGGTTGGAAGTTAGCGCATTTTTGCTACAAACACAGTTAGCTGTACTCTTTGAGATTTTCAAATGTACTCAAGAACTACGAGTATTGTCAGTTCATATTGAAAAAAAAAAATATATATATATAGAAGATAAATGAATTAAATGAAATCGGAATGAATCTTCAGTTCTCTCAGGTTTATCCGCCACCGCTGTCGGTCTTTTTTTTAACGTTGGGAAATGCATTTACGCACGAGGTGTGGGACTCATCGGCAAAGCCAGTACTACCCACTAAAACCCAACAAAACCTTCCCCCGTCTTAATGGGGCGTCGCAGGATCGCTTACGCATTCAACTACGACGCCCCGACGGCAGGTCTGCCGAGGCAGACCACAACGACCATGGGGTTGCTCCAAAGTCCACTCTGCTAGCAAAGAAGTACCAGGAGCAACCCGCATGGTACACCGCCCACCGAAGTGGGCCACCTCCCTGTGCGTTTCTTGGCTTCGCGCCCGGCTGTATTGCCGGACACTAATGAGCCCCCCCACCACGACAAGGTGAACGCACGTTGGGGGGGGGGACCGCTGTCGGTCTTGCGCTAACCTCATCTAAGTCCTGACATTGATGCTTTTTATATTATCAGCCCAAAGCTGGACAACGACTTCGTGTTGAGTTCTTAGAAGCAACACAGTTATCACCTTAGTTCACCAGTCGTCGTGTCTCCGTGCTAGGAGTCTCATCCATTTCCATTCTAATTTCATGGTTCGATTCCCATAGTATCTTTTAACTTTGTCCGGCTTCGGAACTCGATGCTGGACCATAGACTTTATCTATAATTAATATATTTTATTAACATATGCGTCTGATTTTTCTTTATTTTTCTATTTATAAGGAATATATTTAAAAACATAAGGAAAAAACTTTTTAAGAAAAAAATAAAAACCGACTTCAGAAAAACACTAAAAAGTAAAAAATTACTGTTTGGTAGTTTTCATTTACTATACATACATTAGCCGTTGAAGAGTTCCACCTATCCACCTTCTGGCCTTACTATCAGATCATGTCAACGAGACCGAACCACTGCACTATCAGCGGAAATAGAAACACTTGCAAAGTTGCAAGTCAATATTACAATTATTAGAAGTAGGTTAAATTCATCATTAGTTATTTTTCCACCCTTAGGGATGGTATTATTATTTTTAATTTAAATGGGACCAATTTGGAACTATGTACACGTTAAAAAAAATTACAATTCGGTTAATAAATAACGGAGTTCTGAGGTAACAAACATTAAAAAAACATACAGCCGAATTGAGAACCTCCTCCTTTTTGAGGAACTCGGTTGAAAATGAAACTTAGTACCTACTTGTCATACCTTTAAACTTATAATAATGCAACGAGAAGACACTTTTGTCGACAAGTATTAATTACATATCGCTTAATAAACACAAGCTGTGTATAAGAGAGCTGTACACTACCCAGTATAGTAGTATATAATCTGTGACACTACTAATTACAGTTAGATTTGTAATATAATTAAAAAAGTTATTTAAAGTCATGATGTTTGATGCACTCAATAATTAATATATAAAATTCTTCTGTATGTGTGTTTGTCACCTTACTCCTCTTGAACGGCTGGACCGATCTGGATAAAACTTTGTGTGCATATTTCAATGGGCTCCTGGATGGTTTAAAAATACAATTGGACCCGATAGGTGGCGCTGCAGTCGGTGTGTCAAAGAGTTTGTTTTTTTAGTAGTTAGAACGCGAGCGAAGCCGCGTGTACTGCTAGTATAATATAATAAATAAAATAATTTCCTAAAATATTCTGTGTAATAGTTTCGAACGTTTAGAGTTTATAGATATCGTTGCGTAGTTGCGAGAAAACAACGTATTTACATGATAATAGCAGCCTGAACCATGCTTAAGAATAATGGCAAATAAAGCCGCGGCGGACCGCAGTCAGACGCATGGAAAAAATAAGCTGAAACCCATTAGTGTAGCATCCACAGTACATTATACCTACACCCAGTAGGTACTTAGGGCAATACATATAAATAGATATG